ATCAGTCTCTCCAATAATGTCGAGCGCATACTTACGCTGACACGAATAAATGCCTGTCTTATTGCGAGCAACCTCAATCCCCAAAAAATACTTCAGATCACCTAAGTCTTTCATGTTAAAGCATCGACTCAGATAATTCTTGAAATGAACTAAGGCGCTCCAATTATTTCCACCTACAACCAAATCATCAACATAAATTAAAACCCAAAGCTGAACATTTGGTCTCGTATAAGTAAAAAGAGAATAATCTGCGTATGATTGAACGAAGCCATAGCGACGCAATGCATTACTCAATTTCCCAAACCAACAGTGAGGCGCTTGACGCAAGCCATACAAGGATTTACGCAAGCGACATACCTGATCAGGATGGGAAGATACAAAGCTAGGCGGGAGCCGCATGTATACTTCTTCCTCCAAATCTCCATGAAGAAAAGCATTATGCACATCCATTTGGTCTACATACCAACCGCGACCCACAGCCACAGACAACGTAACCCGCATAGTCACCATCTTTGCAACGGGCACAAATGTTTCATGATAATCAATACCCTCACGTTGATTGTTGCCCAAAATTACCCACCGAGCTTTATGTCGTTCGACCGTCCCATTAGACTTATATTTGATCTTATAGACCCACTTACAACCAATTGCTCTTTTTCCATGAGGCAAGTGCTCAATGGTCCAAGTCTAATTGCGTTCTAAAGCTTGTATCTCCATACACATCATTTCATGCCACACGGGCTTAGTCACTGTATCACGATAATTTTGGGGTTCAGATTCACTCCTAAGAGCTGTTAGAAAAGAGCGATGCTGCCCAGAAAAATTTGCATATCCCAAGAACTTAGATAAAGAATAAGGCTTATTTGCGTCATTTTTAGATCGCACCTCATTTGATACATTGCCAACAAGGAAATCCTTCAGTCGACTTAAAGGATATTTAGCGCGCAGACCCCGTCCGAGAATCTCCTCTTGCTGCGGATTGTGCACTGGTTGATCAATCTTCTCATTTGGAGGGTTACCCCTAGAGCTAGGCATCGAATCTTCAGAAGCCAAAGTTGACGGAACACTTCCACTTATTGAATCGTTAAGAACTGAAACTGGTTCGTCAGAATTCATCACAATTGGCTAGAACGTCTCTCTAGTGGTTGCTGCTAGAATCAACTCAGGGCTTGAGTCATCAATAATAGTTTCCTCATGTATTCCCGATATTTCATTAGGTTGTGCAACAAAAGGAACAACATAATTCTCACTTGTTCGACTATCCAAAGTCACCTGCGAAAAAGGAAAGCTTTGCTCTGATAAAATGACATCACGCGACACAAAATACTCATAGGTCGCCAAATCATATAACTTCCATCCTTTCTTGCCAAATGGGTAGCCAGCGAACATGTACCGCCTACTCCGACTCGCAAATTTATTGTGACTTCGATTCAAATCCTTAGCAAAACATAAACATCCAAAGACTCTCAGATGAGCATAATCCGGAACTATCCTAAACAAACATTCAATGGCATTTTACCTCCAAGAACCTTACTTGGAGTTCAATTAATTAGATATCCGGCTGTCAAAACAATCACCTCAAAAATCAATCGGAAAATTAGACTGAAATCGAAGTGCACGACCTACATTGAGTATATGACGATGTTTACGCTCTACCCTGCTATTCTGTTGAGGCGTACCTAAGCATGAGGTTTGATGAATGATCCCATTCTTAGCAAAAAAATCTTTCAAACAGACAAATTCAGTACCGTTATCATACCTCACAATTCGCACGTCTTTAGAAAATTGTCGCTTCACCATACCTTTAAAATTCTTCAAAATCCGGCTCACTTCATATTTATTTTCCAATAAAAATACCCAAACACATCGTGAAAAATCATCAACAACTTTCAAGAAATAAGAACAACCAGTAGAGGATTTAGTCCTATACGGACCCCAGACATCACAATGATTTAACTCAAAAATCTCAGAGGCGTTATTATCACTGTCGGGAAAAATTTCCCTTGTCTGTTTGGCTTGCATACACTCATCACAAATATCATTTGATTTATCAAAACTACTAACACTAGGCAATAAATCTAAAATCTTTGGTGAATGATGGCCAAGACGTTGATGCCAAACTTAAAATGATATTTTACTATCAACCTTGCAAGCTTTTATTTCTACCCTAGAGTCCAAATAATATAGTCCTTCAATTCTCTTTCCCAAACGCCCAATCTCCATCCTTGTATTGGGGTCCTGCATTACACACATAGTGTACGTAAACAACACATCATAATTCTTCTTGTTGACCAATTGTGAAACCGATAATAATCTATTACTCCTTGGCGATCTAACCTTGGGTTTCTCTGTTTCTAACGCTCGGCATACCAATCTGAGTAGCCGTTAAGTTGAAAGCAATCATTAATCTCATGTCCCGTCTTGGAACAATGAGTGCAAAGTAAATTATGGTTCCTCTCCCTGTTGTCCGTGCTAAGTTTTTGACCCATTGCACCAATCAATTGAACAGCCAAGGCCATTTGTTCTCCACCTTCTTCTCGGATTTTAAAATTGTTCTTCATTCTCTCTTCTTGGAAAACCTTCGCATATGCGCCCCCGACAGATGGCAATGGTTCCCACGAGAGAATGTTGGATGCGCACTGTTTCGAAAGCCTCATCCAATCCAGCCAGAAATTGGTGCAACTTCTCTTCCTCTCGTTTCTGGCCAAATCTCTTCTCCAAATCACATGTGCATCCTCCACAAGTGCACCCACCACAACTGCATCTTGGAATCTGATAATAATCTGCAAGTTCGTCCCATAGCTTTTTCAATTGTGGCTAAAATAACTCACTACTGGTGTTCCACGTTGTCGCAATTCCATCAAAGCCGCCTTTATTTTTTGTACACGCACACTGTTATTTTCTATAAACCGTTTAGACAGTTCTCCCCATAGCTTTTTTTCCGTCTTCAGCTGGTCACGGTCGAGCGAAGCGTCAGCTCAATCATATCAAGATCCATGCGATAAGCATCGCATTCACCGGTTCCCATTCCTCCAAGTCTCTGGAATTCTTTTCTTCTGTAGGTTTGGTTATGGTTTCATCGATGAACCCTAACTTCTTTTTGGCCTTAAGAGCGTTTTGGATCGCACGCACCCATTCATCGAAATTATTCTCTTTCAATTGCACGTGAGTGATTAACAATCCTGGATTGTCATTGTTCGGTAGATAATACAGAGGACTCAATTTCTCATTTGCCATATGGCTCTAATACCATAAAGAATTTCAAATTCGAAAAAAAAAAACTCTATATCTGTATTCCCCTTTGTTTCTCTCTGTCGATTTTCACTGTATGATACAATACATATATCAAGCCAAAACTTCGAGATCAAGATTCAAATCATCAAATATCTTCAGTAACTAAAATGCTTATCTCCTACCTAAAATAAACACTATCCAAAAATATATAATAAATTACCAAACGTAAAAGATATAATCTATGTATATATATATATTGGCCAAATATAAAAAGATACTCCATACGAACAATTTGGACTGCTCGTAAAAAAGGAGCTTACAAGAATTTTTCCCTTGTCCCAGATATCTCAATTGCTAAGATTAAAACTTTATGTTTTGGTATTCTCTATTCCACAGGTGCTGCTGATCACGTTCGGAGATATCGCACCATGGCGTGCTAATTTGTTGCTGGTTTTCCTCTCTTCGAGTGGTTCGAGTGGTTTGGACTATACTGCAAAGGAGGAGCCTCTTCTCTCTCAGAAAACAGAAATGTTGGACACTGGTCTGTCACTATTTGTTTTACGTTCAATCCCCCGGGTATGCTCGGCATTTATTGTGGCGAACTATTTATTTATTTATATATATAAAAAAATCCTAGATCTTTCCAATAAATAAAATAATAATAATTTTTGCTCTATTTATTTTGATTTAACTTGGCCGATGGGCTCACACAACTTTATTTTTGGCATATGATTTTAATTCTTTTTAAATAAAGTCAAACATATTACCTTTTTATATATAAATAGGAAAAAAAAAATCAAAACTAATCCCAATAAGAAGAAAAACAATCAATTTTAGGCTCATTATTAAAAAATCATCAATTTTAGTCCAATTACAACAAAATTAGTTATTTTTTGTCCCACCATTACTCTTTGACCGGTGAATTTTTAGGTCGAACACAAGAATTTTAAGTCACAAAATTGAATCAAAAAATATTTATTGAGTCTGACTACTTCAGAAAAGTGATAAACGGTGGTTCTCTGGTGAGCGAGCCAAAAGTTATAAAGTGCAGGAATGTAAACAAAACAGTAGAAAAATGAGCGGAAAGCGGAGTTTACGAGCAGCGGGTGCTGTGAGTGTGCTAGTGAGCAGAGCGGTAGGGGTGGTAGGTGAGCGGTATATATATACGTGAGCTTGACCGGCGAGCGGCGTACGTTAGTGTAAGTGAGTAAATGAGCGATATTAATAACATCGATAAGATTGTATAGAGATGTTTATGTGTGATATGTGCGTTTCGAAATGGCTAGATTTCATAGATGAAAGTAAAATAGTGAAACACACACACATATATATAAAGCGAAATGACAGAAGTAATGAATGTGATCATACTTGTTCATTTAAACCAGAATTTGACTCGCTCGTACTTGACCTTCAGGGATTTACAACAAAACTTCAATGATACCCAGATTCAGAATATTATAAGTAAGAAAAGCTACTGTCACTAGACATTTTTTAGTCCCGATAAACAAGCGTCTGTTCCAATTAATCATTCCAAAATCTGTTTCATTAGTGGCTTTACCCATCGAACACCTCTCTTTAGTCAAAATTTAATTCAGAACGGTAATTAAGCAGGTCGACAAGGCTCCCGCGTACTTAGCTACATTGAACTACATAAAATTTGTTAATGAATATGACACGAGATTAGACTTTAATAATCAATTCTTCTGAAGAACTTTCCACAATGAGTAAATTTCATATTTATACAATCAAATACAAGCTTGAAATTGGGAATGAATTTGAAGATAAAGAAATCTTGATATTAAATTAACACCAGGAAAAATTTAAATCTACATTACAAAGGGATAAATAAAAGCTGTAAATCTGCCTAGAAAGTAACTTAAAACTGGGCATTTAGGGTACGAGAGAATCTCCACTTCCCTGACCTCCTCTCTAACTAAGAGAACTCTGTTACAGGAATAGAGCTACCAGGAAATCGACATAGTAAAAGCAAGAAGTTTATCACATAGTGAATGATATGATACAAATAAAATATGGCCCTATTTATAGATTTTATGGGACGACAGTTGGTGGAAGTTGTGCGATTACAGAGTAGCAGTTGAGATGTTGTTGCAACCGTTAGGCAGTTAAGCAGTTAGTTGGTTGAGCAGTTGGAACTGCCCTAACTCCTAGCTTGCTTGCTCGTCTGCGGGACTATATCAGCTGGGTACAGATATTCCTCTCTTGCCTTCCTACTTGACTTGGCTGGAGGGCATTGGCACAGCTCAAGCGAGACTATCGTTGTTGGCCAGTAATAGATTGTTGACCGTTGGGAGATCTACACTTAATCGTTTCTCAAAACTTCTGGATTGTCACTCGTCAGCAGTGGACACCTGGCCGGCAAGCTCGGGCGCAAGCAAAAAGAGCATTTCTTGCCATAGTTGGCTGCACCCTCACTCGTCTCATCATACTTAGGCATTTATGAGCTAGAACGTCACTAAAAAAGGCGAAAAACATCATTAATCTTTACAAGCAGCTTTGGATCATATTAAGCGAAACATATCTATAAAGTATGCCATAAATAAGATATTGTAATGGTTATCATATAAAATTCAATAAATACAAAGTTTTATCAGCGATAAATATGTTATTATTTGAAGTTATCAGTCATGTTAGCCAAGGGTTTTTGAAGTGTAGATGGATAGGACCCTTCCAATGTAGTCGGGTAGAGAAAAGAAGGAAAAGGGTTCTAAGTCTTCTTGGCCTTATAAAAAAAATCGGGTTAAGAGTATGGAAATTAGTGATCAATAGTTAAGTGATGAAAGATGTTTACGTGGCCCAACTTAGATCTTCACAGGCCACTACAATTAGTATGTCGGGCAGTGTGAGTGTAGTCGGAGAATCGCCAACTTGTGCTTCAGTGGTGGCAAGGATTGGTGGTTTGATTCCCAAAATAAATGGAAGTTAGTATTTGCAAAAGAGATTAAAATGACAAACAACGGAAAATGCTTACAAAAACTTCTTCCCCCGGAGCCACCGACTCGCGGTCAAAATAATTTGATGGAGCGAATGGAGTGGCCAACTAAAAGAGATGAAAAACTGCTCTGCAGAGCCTTGCCTCACAACCGGTGCCTCCTCACATTGGCCGTTTACCGACTAGTCTCTTTGGGGGACAAAAAGCAAGAGTAATGTCGACCCTGTCAGTTTTGGGGGCCTAATAAAGACAAATAAAATAAAAGTCAAAGACAAAGATAATAACTCATTCTAAACAAAGTAAAGGATTATAGTACCTGGAGGTCGCCCGAAAACAGGGGTGTAGCCCCTTGATCGGCTACGAAAGGTGGTGTAGGGTGAGAAACATAAGGATTGTGAATTGGGTTGGTCAGAAGGTTGGTCAGAGTAGCAGAGTTTTGGCACCTTCCTAGACAGTTGGTGTGATGGTTGGCAATGTAGTGTCTGGATTCAACTTGAGGACAATCGGTCCAATAGAAGAATCAACAATGCCAACTATACAGAAATAACAATGTAAGAATAAGTTATATTTTAAAGACGATCTTAAAAAAAATATGGGATGTTACTAAGAGCTATAGGGAGCGTCCGTCGCAGGCTGATTGGGAGCCAGGTAGTGTCTATTGGAGAGGATACTAGGTATTTCTCGGGTGATGAGTTGGTGGTTGGCGGGCCAGCTACTGATTAAGAAGGCTCAGAGGCCTTCTTTCTCTTCGGAGCACTGGAACTTGCCCTTTGCCCTATCGCAGCCTTGCGCTTTGGTGGAGCGGGTTCCCGCAAATTGGTTAAGACAGGCTGGGACTCTAGGCCAACAATGGTGGAGGGGAAAGGATCCGCACACAGTCTTCGATTAGTCGCCCTATGACGGCCTAGACGAGGCCCCACCATTTCTTAAAACCTTTGATTGATTCGGGGGAGAGTTTGAAATGGGTGTATAAGTAGGAGGTAGTATAGGCTGATAGGAGGTCGATGTAGGATTTTATTTGATGAGATCGAGCCAGACCCTCTGGGGTGATGGAGATAAAGTGAGGATAAGAGACAGGGTCTGGAAAGACCTGACAGCAACTGAATTGGCAAGCCAGGTACTAGAGTTGGCAATGGAAGACGACATAAGCTTTTTTTCCCTTCTCCAACTTCTCACTGACGAAGAGCGACCTTGGTTTGAGGGTAGAATCCTAGGAATTAACGTAGGTTGGGTGAAGAAGAGGAAAAGAAAGAGGATAAGGAAAATCATCCACAAGAGAGAACTATAACAGAAAGGTGGCATAGATGACATAATTTTGATATGGGTAGTATTGGATATTGGATGAATCAAATTTAAGGATGGACTGAATGGTGGCAAGAGGAAGACGAAAGTGGTTTTGTTCAGAGCAGAATTGGAGGAGTGATAAGCCAAGCATTCAACTTGGGTCAGGAAAGGGAGATAGGCGGCTGAAAAATATTGGGTGAAAATACAAACAGAATAAGAGTTTCACAAACCAAAAAGAGCCCGGACAACCAGTATTGAGCTTGGCTTGGCTGGACAGGTCAACACTAACTTTGTAAAGACATTAGAAAAGGTTAAACAAGAATAAAGTGCCAATAGACCAAAATCAATCCATGGCCAAATAGATAGAAATATCCAAGTGTGCGAAAGATGAAGGAGGGGCAGACGACATACCTGTAAAGCCAAAAAAAGATAAAGGCCACATGCTCTTCATCGGTCGCTTCTGAGTTCGGCTGGCCACAATGTCTGGCCTTTTAGACACCCCAAGTTGTAATCTTCGGCCTCTGCTTGCCTAGAGCCCAACCTGGGTGGTCCAATGGAGGCTCCTATGTGTCCAGGGTCCCAACCACAGGATTTTTGCCCACGATCAGGAGATGGGCTATTATGGCCATATTTAGCAAGTTTGGCGTAATCGGACCAAAAGGCAGCAAAAAGATGCTTACTTTTGGGTCTCCAAATGTAAGCATCCCAAGAAGAATTAAATCTCGGAGGTTGAAGACATAGGTGGAGAAGAGACTGGCTTTGTCCAACCTTTGGTGCCGCCATTGCTCACCATACTTGTTTCCCATACGACCGCGCCAGACATGGAAGATGGGTTTAGGATCAGAAAAGTTGTTTTTATGGTGCACCGGATTGATATCAGGGTTTTGAATGACAAGGCAGTAGCCATTTTCCAGAAACACCACTACCGGAGCAACAACATCCACCGTAAAAAAAAAAAAAAAAAAAAAAAAAAGGCAAACGGTGTAGATGAGGGCCCTAGAAGACCCAAAGGCAGGTTCGGGGCAAGAACCGTCAATAGGAATGACATGTACAACTCCCATTGCTAAATGAGATGAAGAAAGGGGTTTATAAGAAAAGTGGTAAGGGAATTTTGATCATGGATATTTTCTTGATGAATTTTGTGGAAAAAAAAAAAAAAAGTGAAGTAAGAGTGAGAGAGATGTTGTATTAGGGTGTTTATGAACCCTGAAGCTATGGGTAATAGCATGATGATTACTCTTGATGCCTCAAATAATGAAACAATGACATTGCTACAGTAATATTTCACAGTAAGAGAGATGAGCGGGAAAGGGGTAAGTTGCTGAGCCCTGATTTTGGACCCTAGAGCTCGGCCCAGAATATAAAATATTACGGCAAGAAAAAGAGAGACCATTGAAGGCAGCGGCCCATCGTTGGTTGATCGGCCCATCAATGGTTTGGCTTATCTAAGTGACCGAATTAGGGAAAATTCAGACTGTAGTATTCAAGACTAGCCGACCCACAATGGCCAAACCTAGGTGAATTCAGTTTATTTTAGCAGTTTGAGCCTATGCCACCCATTGTAATTACCTCTCCGAATATGTGATCACGAAGCAAGAAACTATCAACGGTTGGCACACGATTGACCAAACTAAACTGTGGGAGTTGGAAGGTGGTTCCAGGAAAATGTATATATATGGATCATCAGTGATGGGAGAAAACATCTTCAATCAGACAAAAATTTCAAAGGGATTAATTGGGAATCACCTCTTTTACTTTTATTGTATATTCTTACTTGTTTATTTAGTTAACTAAATCTTTGCTTAGATGTCCATCATCTCAAGCTCAAGAAATCAAGTTCGAAGTCATATTCGAATTTTAGTTTTAATTTTTTTTTTAAATCCAGTTAAACGCTAATTATTATATATATATTTATCAACATATATCATACAAGATAAAAAAAAAATTATTATGCAACAACAATATATAACAGTGGTTGAGACTCATAACAACCGAAGAAACCCCTAAGGTTATTGAATATTACATCACTTGACTTCGTTAATAAAGACCTGCGTAGCCGAAACCTCTTAAGTTATTGAATCAATTTCCCAACTTTCTTTGAATCCCTCGTAACCACAGAAGCCACTTTCCTTTTTCGTGATTTTTGCCGGTTGCAAATTTTCGTTGACTCGATGGGCTTCAAAATTCTCAATAGGCCGTACTTCCGTTGAACTTAACCCACTTGGACTTGTTTTCTCACCATGGGCCTCTGCTACTCTTCTATTCCTTCACTTGGGGGCTTACTCACTCAATTGAATTTTTCCACCTTTTTAAATTTTTAGGCCCAATATATACATTTATGATCATTATTACACCTTTGTAGTTTGAGTGACCATCGTATTTGATAATCAAATCTATGTTCCCATTATACCAAATTAAAAGTTGATTATGATTGTGGAAAATAAGTTCATTCATTCAAGAGAGCTACTTATTGAAATTTTTATGGTTACTAACAAAATATTTATATGAATGAAAATTTGAATAAAAAACTAATATCAAACCAAAACAATATGTTTAAAAATAATAAGGAAGACAACACCAAAAACCAAAGAGTGTTATATACACATCGACGCTATATAGATATCGCAATCTACACATAAGCCTTCGTATGTTTGTTTAAATGTCATGTGGATATTTTTTATTGGATGGAGACATCCATATATACATGTGTTTATTAATTCATCAATAGAGGATATGAATTTTCTATCTTATCTATCACGGCTTTACCACACTCACTCGTTTGTCTCTTTCTCTCTACTTCTTCATTTATTGCATTGTACCTTATATACATATATTTAATTCTTCCTCTGTCCTATAACTAAATATTCATTTATTTTTGCACGCAGTTTTAGAAATATTAGTATTATATTAGGATGTATTAGGAATAAAATAGAAATGATTAAAATAATCTTATTAGTATGTGAGATATAAAGGTAATGTCATTTGTGTAATATATTGTAAGTTGTAAGAGTATTTGTAATGTTAGGTAGATAGTACAGTTACTAAAAAAAAAAAAATTGATATTTTGTTATGGGACGGAATAAAATGAAAAAATTGATATTTTGCTATGGGACGGAGGGGGTATAATATTATATATAGATTAATACACATAGTAAGATATAGGGGTGGACAAAAAAACTAAATCGAATCGAACCGTCGAACCAAACTGAATCGAATTGAATTTTCGGTTAATCGAGCAAATTCGATTCGAATACAAATACTACATATTTTCTATTTATTTGGTTCGATTCGGTTTCAATTTTCAATATTTTTTTCGGTTTGGTTAATAGAACTTAATATTTTTATACAATATATTCTTTTTTTAAAAAAATATTTATATAAATTAAATTATTATTATTATTTATAATAATTTTTGTAAAACTAGTCTCAAGCCCGAACCTTCAATTTTCTCAACTTAATTCCAATCCAGCAAACCCTAACACTTTTCCCTCGTCCCTCCCACCGCGCACGCCGCTGCACTGTGCACATCTCCACCGTCGCGCTGCACCGCGCACACCACACTATCATCGTCCAGTCGTCTTGGCAATGATTATTATTGATTCTTCCACCCTTATTTTCTGTAAGGACACACAAAATCATTTGACGGGTTTACGTTTGTCCGATGTTTTATATCTCTGCAAGTTTTTTTTTTATCTAGCCTTCATATCCAGATTGTTCTCTTACTACGACGAGATTTTGTGGATTCAATCGTAATATATAAACAACCTCTTAAAATATCATGCGCTAATTTAAAATAGTTGATGATTAGCATAGTCTACGTCAATATATAACATCAATGGCTAAGTACCACTACTTGACCCCAAATCTAAGTTATTCATCGGTTCGACTGTAACAAATCGTACCATAAACATTCAGATTGGACTAGACAGACCCTCCGATGCCCTTTGCTAAAATTCTTGCAGCAATTTTAGCCCTCAAACCTTGACATCATCGAATTCAGATACCCAACCATCCGGTGGATAACGGTCTTTATCGTCTAAAGGGTAGCTCTCAGCGTATATGCATACAAGTGGCCTACAAGTTTAGTCATCTTTGTATGAAAGAAATGTATAGAGAATCTGAAGGTAAGACGTTTGTATTTTTATTTTTTTTTGGTCTGCCATCATTTCAAAACAAAAACATGTCTGCATAAGTATACCCAGTACAAATACAAGTTTATGATATAACTATGAAGGTAAGTAATGAATTAACAGTCAAGGTACACCAAAGGTAATGAGAGACACTCGAAAATAAGATAAAGAACAAACAAAATTTTACTAATCGACAAAAGTAGATATATTTAGAAGTAACTTCATGACAGAGAGATCGTCCAATACCTTAGTACTTAAAAAATCACCCGACAAGAAATAATTTGCCTACGGTATTTGAAGAAAACAAGAAGCATCGCCCGCCTCACATCCCAATTAATTTACTATAAATATAAACCTAGAAAAATACAATAAACGTACTTCTATAGAGAAAACGATCATTTATAATTTCAAACACATCAAAATAACTCATATTCGACCTGATGGTGCAATACAATATCAAAGTAAAATGGCCCATCACCGAAGCTTATACAAACCCAAATGAGGCACAAATAAAATAGATCTGAGCATATAATGAACTAAAAAACTTGATCCTATAAAAAACATAAATTTTAACTTAATTTTTTTAACTCCGCTTCGAGGAGAATGTTTTTTTCGACATCTCGAACGGAAACGGAGCTCTGACCAGGGAATGGAGATTTCCGACGGCGAAGAAAGTTTATGCGAGGAGACTCGACGGGCGATTACTTCGGCAGGGGGTTCGAAAGAGAAGGGTAACATGAGAGGGGATGAGTTTCGAAAAAATAACCAAGCCACCACTTCGGATTATGGGTTTTACTAGGATTTTGTTTTGTTTTTTTGTTTAAATTTCTATAACGGATTTTAGTACATAAATAAAAATTCCAAGCAAATGACTTGACATTTTCTTTGTACAACAGGATAATTTTGGAGTATGTAATTTGATAATGTAGGTTTATATAAAATTAAACAGAAGTATATACAATATTCATTACATTATAGTGTGATTTCAGGCGTTAAATGGGTATTAGGGGGTTAAGGGTAAACTGAAATGTAAAGTAGAGAGCGCAGTGCACTCTCAAAATAAAGAGAGAATGAATTTAAATGTGTTTTAGTTCAGAGAGATTTTAATCCAAGTGCCCCTTAATTTTATTTATATCAAATTCAATAATTATTTTAAGTTAAAATTTGACATTCAAAAGAATATCAAACAAATAATATGGAAAAAATCAATTTTGGTTCCAATATAAAAAAAAAAAACTCATCAATTTTGGTTCAACTATAAATAATTTCAATCAATTTTGGTTCAATTATAAATAATTTCAATTAATTTTGGTCCAACCGTTAAAAAATTAACGAAATTGTTGACGTTAACATAATGGGGTTGACATGGCAACTGACCTAGAAACTACACAGTCATGTACAATTATATACGACCATGTTGTCACATGGCCGGGTATAATTCAATGCACAATTATATATGACCATATTTTCACACGGCCGTGTACCTTTTTTGTTTTGTTTTAAAATTTTATTTTTTGTTAAATATTTTTTTAAAAAAAATTATTTTGAATTTAGAATAGTTGATATAGTTAAAATGGAAAAAATCAATAGCAATTATAATATAATTAAAATGTATCAATTTTAGTTCAAATATAAAAAATTTATCGAGTATGTTCTTTTGGAATATTTTGCCTAAAATTTTACTATTTATCAAAAAATTTCCTCTTACAAACATTCAATTACACAACTATTTTTAACTTTTTATATTATATTGAAATTTTATTTTTACATTTTAATATAATTTCAACATAGAAATATATAATTGTATTG